CATGTTCCTGCGTTCACAACCGCAGCGCCAGCCCAGCCGTGAAGGAAGGGTGGGCCTCGACGGTATGCAGGGGCGGGAGTGGTGGGGGACAACACTGACATAGGGGGAAAAGTCTCAATAAAGGTAGCTGGTTAAACTATCTGGGATCAAGCACACTAAACATTGGCCAGATATACATTCAGATTAAATTAGAAAACTTTGGCAAGCAAAAATGTTTTTACTTGATGCTGTTAGTAATTTTGTTTGTGTAAAAAAAAAATCTTGAACTGGCAGTAAATACTGTGGACGTAAGGCATATATTGAAGCTAGTTTATATTATAAGCCATGTTCCTTTGGTCCTAGTTGCTTTTTTGTGGGGGGGGGGGGGGGGTTTTTATTGCCAAGACATTTTGAAACACACAGAGTAATTAGTTGGCAAATTATTTAATTTTGTAATTGAAGAATCTCTCAGTCTGTTCAATAACTCCTCAGATAGGTTTAGATATCTGTTGCATGAATCATGTTTGCTTAGAAGCCACTCCTGGGTAAAACTTTGAACAAATAAGGGTGAAAGAATTGTATAATCTGTGTATTCAAAACAGATTATATTTGTTTTACAAGGCTTACTGCATACAAGGACAAAACTAAGCTAGTTATTGAGAACATGCTAAATACAGATCAATATGCAATATGATTCTTCTATTAGCATACCTACGTTTAACATAGTTATTACATTCATGCTTTACATGATTAGATGTGCAATTAAAATGACTGTTATAAACCTGGGGCATTTGTAATATCAATGTTATGGAAATCTAGAGTTATGAACGTATAGAGTATTGCTTTTTTAAATAAATGGTTTTATTTAGAGTGAATCAACAAGACTTTGAAATATAGTTTAAGATTTAAAAAATTCAGTGAAAGAAAAACTCTCTGTTCTTAAAATATCATGTATGCTGGATTGATTATTTAAATGCAGGTAATCCTCAATTAACGACTATAATTGGGACTGGCAACTCCTTCGCTAAGTGATGCAGTCATAAAGCAAAAAATCACATGACCATGCCAACTTACAACGGCAGTTCTGGCAGTCATTAAGCGAATCACGCATGGCTGTTAAGTGCGACATCATGTGACTGCAACTTGCAACTTCCTGCTGGCTTCCCCATTGACTTTGCTTGCTGGAAGCTGGCAATGAAGGTTGCAAATAGTGTCCATGGGGACACTGCAACAGCCGCAAATTTGAGGACCAGTCATAAGTCTCCTTGTTCTGTGCCATTGTAACTACTTGGTCGCTAAGCAAGGACTACCTATATGTTTAAATAAGTTGTAAGATGCTCTGTTTTTAATAGCATGTTAGCATGATTATAGAATGCTAGCAAATTTACTGTTTTTTTTTTTTCTTTTAAAAATCTTGAATAAGACAAGGAATTAAATAAGAAATGTCAACTTTACAACAATATCACTTAACAATGGAAATTCTGGTCCCAATTGCTGTTGTAACCTAAGGACTATCTGTAGTTTTTTCTTAAAATTAAGGATATACTTAGCTTGAAGCAACAATGTACCTTGCCATTCTCTGTAGGATGATGTCAAGTTAATTAGATTCACTGTAAGTTTCTCGTGTTAGAGGTAATTAGTTTTATTTCATTGCTGTTATATGAATGCTTTCGTGTTCCTTTTTTAAAAACATTGGTGGTACCTTGCATTCAAACTTATCTATTTAGAGTTGCAGAGCTGTATGATTCTCATTCAATATACGTCTCATCCCTTTTATGCTTAAATAAAAGCAGTGGAAAAATCCTATGATACTTAAAATGTATATGATACTTTATTTGTTGGGCAGTATAGGTAAATAGAATAGATAGAAATAACAATAATGAATTCAAAATGATTCTGCTGAGCTTTACTTAGTTCAATATTCACCTACTGCTATTCAGCAAGGGTAAGGATGAGTAGTAATATTAGGAGAGACAATATGAGGTTCATGCATGATATGAATAACAACAGTTCAGATAGTGTGGTACTATTGTGAGAATAATTGAAGAGTACCTGTTAGTAATTTTTAAGGCTCAAATTTCTTTATTGGACTAACCAGGAACAGCAAAAACATAAGAAATAAATCATTGTAAAAGCTTACTTGCTAGTCATACTCATGCCTATAGCTTTATAAATTTGAGTGTAATAGGAGCTGATATGCAATTTAAAATGTACTGGTGCCCTAACCCTTTCAGTTGTTGTTGGTTGAGCGGAGCAGGGATCAGTATTTTTCAGATCTATCCATCTACTTTGGAAGATAAACGTATGCTTCAGTTTTCTTTTTCTGTGACAATTCTTCCAACTGCGCTTCTAATTTAGAAAGTTTGAAAATTACTATCTATGGACCATGTTAACAATTGAACTGACATGGCCATAGCTGCTATCTGGAGCAATAGCAACTTTTTGCATTAATAATAAAAAGATTCTACTGGCTTTTCGTAAGACCTTAAAGGCTTGGTTTTGCCATTGGGCGCCGTTGGATCTGGGTGTGCAGTGGGACCTGTACAGTGTTGATTGTCATTGGAGGTTCTTGTTATAGCTCAGCTACTGACTCTTGTGTGCTTTTTTATATTGTTTTTATATATGGTTCTCGTATTTTTGTTTTATATGGTTTTAATTGCTATGAAGCCACCCACAGTCATGTATTTGAGATGGGCAGCTATATAAATTAAAATAATATCTGCAGTTTATTTATTTATTATGACACACAATGTGTATTTTGCTTATTTTTCAGTGAGTTACTTGTGCTGGTCTTAAGAGAAATTGCTTTCTTGAGACAAGTAAAATAAGCCTAAATCTTCACTTGGTGTGTTACCAGAACCAAAAAGAAAGTGATTCTATGTATGACTAAAGTCCATCAGGCTATGCATAGAATATATTAATATGCTCTAAGTTCACGAGATAGTAAATTATAAAATTGGCTGGCAGGCTATAAACCTTTTGATTTATAAGTTTTCCAAGTGTGATTAATGACACATTTTTTTCTTTTATTGGGTAGGATAACAGTTTTGAACAGTTTATTATTAACTACTGTAATGAGAAACTGCAGCAGATCTTCATTGAGCTTACTTTAAAGGAGGAGCAAGAAGAATATATACGAGAGGTAATATTTGTTTCCTGTGTAACTGTTCTTACTTTTCAGTCCTGCCATGAGTAGGTTCTTCTATTTGCCTTTGTTAACTTTTGGAAGAGTTGTTCCTTGCTAGTTGTGATAGTCTTGTGAGGTATGAAACTATGCCATTATACTGACAAACTGTTAATGAACCATAAGTGTTAGCTCTGAAACAAAATAAATGATTGGAAGAGCACAAATGAAAATTATAAGCGTTGGTCAAAAGGTTGTTGAGATCCAAGGATTAGCAAAGCAAGAGATTGTACTGGAAGCATAGATGTGAACATCAGGATATTGTACAAAATGTGTCTTGGTGATGCTCTGTATCGCACAGGACTTGATTGATGACATATATGTTACAAAAAATTATTACCACCAAACAGTAATCTATTCTGATGGTGTCATTTAAACTGAGCATCAGTCCTCCTGAAAATGAAGATTAAAGGCAGAAAAATCTCAGGAGTTTGTGAGGTAAAACAGTCATTTCCTTAAAAACACTCCAAGATGTGCAAAGTGTTTATTGACCCAAGGCTTTACACTGAAGGAATTTGGATCTATTTCAATTAAGTGCATGGGAAATTGACACAGATTGCGGAATGGAATGGAAAACACATCTGGCAGTTATTCAAGAACACTGAGTTTGGTTTAGCAGCATTAGCAATTTCTGCATATCTAACAAAATGCTGAGGCTCCCAAAGAATAGTTGTGATTGGGAAAGAGGATGTACAAACAACAACAAAAACTCTCTTCTTTTTTTTGAGATATAGACACCTTAATCTGTATCAGAAGTTTTAAAATAATTTTCATTGCCACTTATAAAAATAGAGGTTTATCTATTGATAGTACAGTAGTGGTCTTCTCGTTGTGAACCCTTTAATTCCATATAATCTAAAATTGAAGAATAGGTCCCAGGACCACCTAATGCTTATGAGGAAAAAAGAGACTGAAATGTCCTTACAATCTTAACTTGCAGCAGTGGTTTTCTTAGCCTTTGAAAAACTGAAATATTTTAGGGCAAGACTTAATTTACTAAGACATGCTTGAATTGAGGCAAACCTTTAGACGTTTTTAGCAGTGGGTCTTCGAAAAAACTCAGATATTGCTGGCCTTCTTCCTGTGTTTGAAAGAATCTTACTACATGATTAACTATTGAGAAGACCATGTAAGGCAGTCATAGGTATCCCTCTACATGTTTAAAATCTCTGTCCATTGACTGAACTGTCTGGATTTATAATCCAGAAAATATGGAGAGCATCAGGTTGTCTACCTTTGACTGAAGTAGTCCTCCATGGCTGTGTAAGTATAGTTATGTATTGCCAACTATAAACATCTTACTACCATGAAGCATACACTTAAATCATGCCATCTCCCTTGATGGGTGTTGCATAAAAGTGATGCATTCCAGTCTGGAGAGCTGGTACCATCTGTAAGAAAGGGAAGCAGACTGAACACGTACCCATGCAATTATTTTTAGATTAGCTCAAGGGTATTCTTTAAGAATACTCAGGGAATAAAATACAAAGTTATTCTTAATGCTTTTTCAGAGTCTTGAATTGCCCAGGAATAAAATAAACATAATAGTGGAGAACCACGCAGTTACAGGTACCCAATAATTTGTGTTACATATATGTTGGTTAAGTGTCAGCTTTTGGTTATGCTAGTTCTACTGGACTTGGTACAGCTTTGCGTGGTTGGGGAACCTATATATTTGTGTCGCTGGCAAAAATTATTTTGGCCATATTCTTTTTCTCAGCTTTTCAACTTTATTTTTATAGGGTATTGAATGGACTCACATTGAATACTTCAACAATGCTATAATTTGTGATCTTATAGAGAACGTAAGTCTTCAATACAAAATTCTCTTGTGTTGCTTTGTAGTTTATTGTATGTGTTTAATTTTTTCCTATTTATCAAGAATTCAGTCAGCTGGCAATGAATGATATTACTGTTTGCATTTTTATTTACTTTGATATACAAAAAGAAAAAAGGAAAGGAATACAGAAAGGAAAAAAGGAAAACACCCATCAGAGGTATAGAAAACAGCTAGGTTTTTAAGCAAGCCATTAAACCGTGATCCATTAAGTAATATGATACATTTTGCTTTCTAACATATATACAGGGCCATTTGGTTAATAATGTCATTACTGAGCATTTGAGATTGCTTTTAAAAAGCTTTCTAAACTGTTCTGTTACTTGGTGAATAACATTTGATTGGAAATGGGACATTTACATTTGATGCATGACATAGCTGAAGCATATATGTGCAAACAGTTCCTATTGCCTAACCAGACCTCCTCATTGTTATATTAGTTCTTCAGCAACAGTGGAAACTGGATAAAAACTTTAATTAGCAGATGACAAGGGAACAGCTTTTTGACTATACTGATAGTCTTCAATTAACTTTTCTTAAAAAACAAATCACACTGGCCTGGTTCACCTCTCATTCAGCTATAAAGTTACTTGTTTGGGGCTATGTGTTGTGCAAACCCACCCTTTGTGATTTGGATTATAGCTTAGTAAGAATCAGCCAATTATGGCATTTTCAATAAACCATGTTTAGTATGTTATGTGAAAGAATTCACTGAAAGTTTGTGGGACGAGACCTGCAGAGGATTTAGGAATATTTAGTAAGGCCATAAAGAAAATGGTGCAGTCTTTTGGAGAAACTAGTATTTCGATAAGATTATTCTATGACAAATAGGTAAAAAAGGTAAATGTATTGTTCCAAGCACAACTCCCCTGTGTTCTGTGTTACAGTGTAGCAAGAAAAAAAGGGTTTGCCAGCAGTAATAGTTCATCCTTAAAAAAGGGCTCTAAGACCGCATGAGTAGTGGGGCAATTCAGATGCTGTCTGTTCCATGCCATGTCATTCTCTTCAATGAGCATTCCGTGTTTTTCATGCCTTCATTTTTTGAGAGCCACGATAAATTATTATCACGGTCATACCATCTGAACTGCTTCCGTGTGTTATGTTCCCGTGTTTTCCTAAAACCATGTCCTTAGTTTTGCATGAAAGATATGTGAGGGGTTTCCATCTCTCCAAGCCAGGCAATAACTGCCTCTGAATGAGTCCTATCCATGTACTTATTTCTTACACATGTTCTCAGAATCTCTTGAAAACTTGCAGATAACAGGTCCTAAGCTGATTCATTAAGTGTGAATCAGCTCTAAAATCAGCTTCAAACAGTGGGAAAGGTTTTTTGTCTTGATAGTCAGACAGAATGATTATGCTGTTACAATTGCATACCCTCTGTTTAAAACTCCATGTGGCAGAAATGTATGGCTCTGTTACTAAAGTATGACCCATCTTTATGGTGGTACATCTGAAATATCAGTCCTCAGGAGAATGGGAAAGGTAGAGAAAGTACTTTCATGCTGAGAAAGTAGAATGGAGACCTCATAGAAGGTTTGAACAGGAAGCTTTGAATCTTAATATTTCGGATTAGTTCCAGGTATATGCTTTTTCTTATAGCAATTACTAACTTGTATTCAGGTGAATGATATTTAGAACTGCTTTTTCTGCTCATCATATTCTGTTCATTGGGTTTGCTTGATAACTTGTTTACTTGATCTAAATCAGTGTCTTATAACATGATAAAGACTGAAAATTTGGTTTGTTGAAATCTGATTCAATTTTTTTCATTGTGGTACAGTGAACTGTACTTTTTAAAACATATAATAGAATATTTATATCCTAATAATGAACTGTTACATTACTCAACAGAATCAGAATGGAATCCTAGCTATGCTAGATGAAGAATGTCTGCGGCCAGGGTCTGTTACTGATGAAACCTTCTTAGAAAAATTGAACCAGGTCTGTGCTACTCACCAGCACTTTGAGAGCAGGATGAGCAAATGTTCACGTTTCTTGAATGATACTTCTCTCCCACACAGCTGCTTCAGAATTCAACATTATGCTGGCAAGGTAATGTATTCCAATGGCCTTGGATATTTGAAAACATGTTTGCTTTGGACATTCCCCCCCAAAAGATAAAGGCTCAAATCCCATGAAAGATAGAGTAGACATGAGAGTAACAACGTGCATTGATGAGTTGTCTTTGGTGGTTTTCATTCCAATGCTTCCCAAAGGTTACAGCAATTTCAGACCTGAAGAGAGATGTACTATTTAAAATCCTTTCTCTCCTTGCTTATGGTCCAAACTATCAAACTCAAATAAGACCTCAGAGTACCAGAATTTTATTATAGTTAACGTTGAATTTACAAAGATACTGCTTTGGATGATGTAAGCAATTTGTTCTTAGTGTGTTTATTCCCCTCCCAGAATGGATTACCTTTGCTTATTTAGACTCTTGGTTTGCTGTTTCAGGTGATGTATCAGGTAGAAGGGTTTGTTGACAAGAATAATGACCTGCTTTACCGTGATCTGTCCCAAGCTATGTGGAAGGCCAACCACTCCCTCATTAAAGCACTATTTCCAGAAGGAAACCCTGCCAAGATTAATTTAAAGAGGCCGCCAACAGCAGGTTCCCAGTTCAAAGCTTCTGTGGCAACGTTGATGAGGAACCTGCAAACAAAAAATCCCAATTACATCAGGTAAAGTTCAGGAAATGAAGTAAATCATGCTTTCAACAATGGTAATCTTCAATTCATACTCCGAAGGACAGCATGAAAGGGAGTGACTCTTATTCAGATCAGCTGAATATCATTTTGTTGGAAGAGAAATAATGTTTTAATGTTTTATATGTCCCAGTTTCAAATTACAAAAGAGACTTTTGGAGTGAAAATTCACAATATCTCATATGAGTGGATATAATCTAAATACGATCCAAATGTTTTTTCTGATCTTTTCTTTCCAAAGATTAAGGGGGAAAAGTAGTTCTAATTGCTCTATACTTGTAAAGTTCTAATTGCTCTGTACTTGTAAAGTTACTGCAACCATGATTAATACTATGTTTAATTAGATCTTCCTTGTTGTGCTGAAATTGTTATTTCTTGTTGTGCTAAAGTTTTTAATTTTGGCCATCTGTGGCATCAGTATCTTTTGCTATGGAACTATTCCCATAGTAGTTCTAATTCAGCTAATAATACAGTGGCACTTATCCATTTAAATACTTGACATTTATTAACACTGACTTGAACAAAACATGATAACAACTTATGCTTTTGAATGTTGAACATATCTGTAACATAATATATCAGATTGGGTCTCCCATCACATTGAACCCTGCTTTGCTTGATTGTGATTTGTTGAATAAGCTAAAATTTGCTAAGTTCACACATCACATTTAGCCAGAAACCAGGGCTGGGCCAACCAAGGGCTGTGTGTGGCTTCAAACACCTATATTACTGGTTCCAGAATGTCCCAGATTGTGCTGCTGAAATGCAACAGCAATTTGCCAAGAGATTTAACTGCACTTGAAATTAAAAAAAAAAAAAAATTAGCCCTGCCCACACAGCTGATGTCATGTCACTAACCTGCTCCTGCAGTCTCTAGGCTGCTGAAAACTATGTGATCACAAAACGTGTGGCCTGGCCACAGAAAAATTGCCTGCCCATGACATAAAGCCATTTGTGTAGTGTTGGTGTTCAGGCTTAAGTGTGATATTGTTTATACAATAGAAGTGCCTCAAAATAAACACTGGGTTAAAATATGTAATGAATATTGAAGATTTGCTGTTAGCAGTTCATGTTTGGTTAAACTTTATTGACATTTCTGTGTCCTATTGTACCTCCTTAAAAAGAAATCTGAAAGATTCTGAGGGCCAGGAATAAAATCAGAAGTGACAATTAGGGTTTTCCAAGTACTTTATGTTTCCATATGAGGACTCTCTCCTTTCAGTTCTTGGTTAATATTACATTTCTCTAAACTGCCCACATGCTCAGAATGTGGGTGTCCATAGACTTTAATTTCTTCAGATTAAGCACTTTCATTAGGAGTTTGTAACTCATCTTCTTGTTTAATCAAAAGAAGTTATACTCAACTTGGGACAAACCTAAAACCACCAACTAAATACCACTGTTCTTTTGAAAACATGGAACATTGTAATCTTGGAAAAACGTACTGAGCTTAAAATGTTGAATCTGCTCAGTTAAAAAAATGCTTCCTTGGCCACTATAGTCTTTCCACTGGCATGAAAAAACATTGTATTATAAATGTAGGAATTTATACTCATGGAATATATTTTAGAGATTGGAGGATATCTGTGTTCATCTATATCCTCCCTAATGGAGGACATAAATACTTGTATAACATATATTGGAATATACTGTATAGAATTTTGTATGTTGCAGGATATAAATTCATGTAAATTGTATGTTTAGCTGTTTATTTGTGCAGTTTACTGAGCTTGATTTAGATATAACTCCTAGAGATTTCCATGGAAAATTGATGATCCTGCAGAGGCTCTCATTGGCATAGGGAGAATGTATATGTCAGGTTTTTCCTCCAATCAGGTTTTTTCCTTCAGGCTTTGCTAGCTCTTTAGAAGGTTAGACTTTCCAGGTGGCACAAGAGGAAGTAGAACACATACATTTTTCATTTCCCCCTTTTTTTTTCTCCCTGCATCAAGAGACAAACTCTGGCTCTAAGTTAAAATAGATGAATAAGCTGTAAACAATGTTTCTTTGGTTGTAAACCAAACTATTGGATGCAACAGTTTTAGACAACTTTCATCTAGTCTCCAGCCTTACCTTTTTAGGGAAGGTTGTTGAGAGGGTGGTTGGCACTCAGCTACAGAGGGCCCTGGATGAAGCGGATCATCAACCCTTTTCAGTTGGGGTTCAGGCTAGAGTACAGTACCGAGATGGCATTGGTTGCACTTGCAGATGAACTCTGGAGGGTTTGGGACGGATGGTGCAACTGTCCTGGCCCTCCTGGATCTCACAGTGGCTTTTGATGCCATTGACCATGGCATGCTTCTGAATTGGCTTCAGGGGCTGGGAGTGGGAGGCACTGTTTTACAGGTAGTCCTCGAATTACAACAATTGGTTCAGCAACTGTTCAAAGTTACATTGGCGCTGAATGAAGAGACTTAAGACTGGTCCTCGAAGTTCCAGCTGTTGCATGAACAAAATTCGAGCACTTGGCAACCAGCTCACACTTACAAACGGTTGCAGAATCTCATGGTCACGTGATCACCGTTTGCAATCTTCCCTGCTGGCTTCCCACAAGCAAAGTCAATGGGGAAGCCGGCAGGGAAGGTCTCAAGTTGCTTGGATAAGTCTCCCCCTCCGTCAGCCTTTCTTCGCTTGCATGCACCATTCCCTCCTTCCCCCCTTCACTTGCATGTATCCTATGCCCTTTTTCACTGGCCTCCTTGTGCTTGCATTCATGCACTCACCCTGCACCCTCTTTCCCTGGCCTCCTTCCACTTGCACACACTCCGTGCCCTCTTTCCCCAGCCTCCCTGTGCTCACACACACTCCAAACCCTCTTTCACCAGCCTCCCTGTGCTCACACATACCCCACACCATCTTCCCCAGCCTCCCTGGCATTCGCACACACACACACTGACTGTGCTGGGCCTCCCCCACCCCCTGCAGCACCCTTGCACTCTTTACCAGGAACACCCTCCATTTCCCATGCGTCTGGGGTTATGACAACAACCGGGATTGCCATTGCTGAGCGATGCGACGTCATGCTTTACAACCGCATCTCTTAGCGATGGCAATTCCAGTCCCAATTGCAGTGATAAGTCAAGGACTAGCTGTATGGTTGTTTTCCTCCTTTTTCTGTGGCCGGTTTCAGTCAGTGTTCATGGTGGGGAGAGGTCAGCGCAGGGTCCTCCAGGGCTTGGGCCTCTCTCCTCTTCTCTTTAACATTTACATGAAACTGCTGGGTGAGGTCATTTGCCAGTATGGGGTGCAGTATCATCAGTATGCTGATAATACTGTTATTCATGAACACCCCGGTCAGGCAGTTGATGCTCTCAAAATGCTGACTGAGTGCCTGGAGGCTATGAGGGTCTGGATGGGGAGGAACCAATTTCAGCTCAACTCTGGCAAGATGGAGTGGCTTTGAGGTTTTGGCTCCCCGTGATCTGGTGATATGCTGTCTTTGACTCTGGACAGGGTGGCACTCCCCCAGACAGAGCTGGTGTGCAATTTGGGGGTCTTCCTAGATTCACAGCTACTGCTCGCTGAGCAAGTGGCAGCCATGGCTAGGGGAGCCTTCGCACAGATTCATCTTGTGTGCCAGACGAACACTCTTTCCTCCACTGGGAGGGCTTGCTCACAGTCACTCATGCCTTGGTCACTTCCCGTTTGGATTACTACAATGTGCTCTACATGGGGCTGCCCTTGAAGACCACCCGGAAGTTACAACTGGTTCAGAATGCAGTGGCATTCGCAGTGTTGGATGCTTCTTAGCGTGCACATCTTACACCCCTGCTGTGCAAGCTGCACTGGGTCCCAGTTTCCTTCCAGGTGCAATTCAAGGTGCTGGTTATCACCTTTAAAGCTCTACATGACAGGGGACCAGATTATCTGTGGGATTATCTGCCCATCCCACCACAGCGAATAGGGTAGGCACACTCCAGCTCCCTTCCCTTAAACTTTGCCACCGCTTTTGGGTCCTCAAAAGCATGCCTTCTCTGTTGCAGCCCCTGCTCTATGGAACGCCCTCCCCCTGGAGATCCGGCAGGCCCCTACCCTTTTAACCTTCAGGAGAGCATTCAAGACCTGGATTTTTCCCCAGGCACTGGGATAGGCTGAGGTCATAGTGGGAGAAGAATGTGATGGGTTGCATCAGTGATGTGTGGATGCAGTGCCAGATCTTTCTTTTTCTTTTTCTTCTTCGGTTTTTGGTTTTACTGTTTTTATTTTAGTTGCTTATATTGTTTTTATTGTTGGGTTGTTAGCTGCCCAGAGTTTGGTTTTAAGATGGACAGCTGTACAAATGTTTTGAATAACATAAACAAAAGTAAAATAAATTTCTGACAAACTTGGTGGGAGCAGTAGGCTTGTGTGCAGTATCTTGCAATTTTTCAACAAACTCTTTTATTTGCAGATGCATTAAGCCTAATGACCAAAAAGCAGCGCACATCTTCAGTGATGCTCTAGTTTGTCATCAGGTTCGATATTTGGGTCTGCTGGAAAATGTCCGAGTCAGAAGGGCAGGATATGCATTCCGTCAAACGTATGAGCCTTGCCTAGAAAGATACAAAATGCTTTGCAAACAAACCTGGCCACAGTGGAGAGGCCCTGCAAGGTAAGAATTACTAGAAATAGGAGCATCCCGGTACAGACATAACATGGAGTGCTTAGCTCTGGTTAAACAGTTGAGATTGGACTGTGGCACTGCATACTCCTTCTGGGTGACAGTTCAACCAGTATCTGGAATTATGATTTGAGTATTGCTGGCTTCTGCTGCTGGTGATATAGAGAACCATTCAACCAGGGCTATGTTCATCAGAGAGTAAGTCAATGTCAACAAAGAAGGCAAAATAGCACATTCCAAGCTACAATCCACATCCGTAGTTAAGGATCTTGCAACATTATACTTCCTTTGACCTAGTGAGAGCCAAACGAGTGCCTCTGTGTAGCTCATTATTGATGCCTGTTTCTTGCCTATTGTAAATTGCTGAATACATCTGGAGTAAAGACTATGGCATCATTGTTTCAGAGGACAAACTGTAGCTTTGCATGTTGCACACAGGTTCCTAATACAAGCTAAAGGGATATGCAGAATTGAACTTGGTTCCTCATTTTTTGAGGCAATCTATTTGCACATGGGTGTGGAAAGCATGGCGAGAAGGACATGTAAAAATGCTCTAATACAATTATTTTTTCATTTTTATATTATGTTTTTCATTATTATTTGGATTTTTTTCCTCGTCTTTCCCAGTGTTTTGTGTGTTAACATCCTTCCCAGTGTTAAAATGCATATTTTTACCCACAGTTGTACTCTATACCTATATCAGCCTGCCCTAAAATATATATCTCAATAAAACATAACTAAATATTTTGGATATAGGTGGTGGCACTTGGCCAACCAGGGTTGGATCTGGTGTCAGAGTCTGGTTAGTGCTAGGCTGAGAAATCGAAAAAAAAACTTCCTGGAAGAAGGCAATGGCAGGCGATTGCCAAGAAAACAATATGGCCTAAAACATCTAATTCTCAATCATGATTGACGTAACATCTATTCATTGGCCTATCATTTTCATAGTTGGACAATTTTCTAAAAACCTGAGATATAAACATTTTTGGCCAATTTAATTTTTAAAAAATGTCTATATAGCAAAGCTTTCTTTTCATAAAGTGCTGGATAATATGCAAGCTTAGCATATGAAAGAGAGACTACTTTTTGACAAATATAGTTTGCATTTTGTTTGTTTGCCTTTTAGAGCTGGGGTCGAGGTCCTTTTTAATAAGCTGGAAGTCCCTGGAGAAGAATACTCCTTGGGTAGATCAAAAATATTCATCCGCAATCCAAGAACCGTACGTGAAGTAATATTCCTCACTTTAGACGAAGTATTTAAATAAAGGTCATCCTCTATTTTATTTCGTTTAGGACACTAGAGCTTTGAATTTGATTTACGCAACGAAGGGCAAACTTAATTAGTTTGGGGAAAAAACAAGTCGGTGGTTAATGGAGCAGCATTATTTTTATCATTGTACCATAACGATATGTAGCTTATTGTTCCTCAAAACATTATTTGCTTAGACTTGAACTTCAGGCCAGAAAGAAGATGAGATGAGATGAGATGAGATGAGATGAGATGAGATGAGATGAGATGAGATGAGATGAGATGAGATGAGATGAGATGAGATTGTGTGTGTGTAACAAAAAAATATTAAATGTCATTCCATTCATCTTGAGTCTGAAATTGTGGAATCCATTCTCTTTCTCTCTGCTCCTTCCATAAACCAGACCTAAAGTAGATCAGACTAAAAGATACATATATTCCAAAGTCATCTATTGAGTTTCGTAGTTTAAAGAAATACAGTAAATATCCTACTTTTTTTCCAGAACCCTTTGGAAGGTACATGCAGCAAAATGAGGGGAAGGTAATCTTACCAGTTTGACTTGCAGATAGAGAAAACCATTTTAGTATTTTCTTCAGATTCCTTGAAAACCAAATGAGATAAAAAGTAGCACATTGGAAAGTGAACTGCATCTTAGCTTGTTCCATAATGATAATAATCTATAACAAAAAAAATTAAATGTGATTCCCTTCATGTACAGTCTGAAATTGTGGAATCCATTCTCTTTCTCTCTGCTCCTTCCATAATCCAGGCCTAAAGTAGATCAGACTAAAAAATGGATATATTCCAAGGTCATCTGTTGAATTTCATAGTTGAACTAAAGGAATTAGTTCATTAAAACTTGATATTTTAGACACCACACCAATCTAGCTTTCTTTAGAGAACAAGGTACTAATATTTTAAATATGTATTGATTTTTATTTTGCTTTTCCTTCTCTTCCCTAAATCTGTATAGCTCTTCAAATTAGAAGACCTAAGGAAACAACGCCTTGAGGATTTGGCTACATTAATCCAAAAAATTTACAGGGGCTGGAAGTGCCGCACGTATTTCCTTCTCATGAAAAAAAGTCAGATTGTGATTTCCGCCTGGTACAGAAGATATGCAGTAAGATGGGATTTCATTTATTAGGCACTATTTCTGTCCCTTCAGCATGGCTGACAGTAATTTAAAACCGAAATGATAACATCATGCCCAGTGAAATAAAATATGTAATTGAAAGTTAAAATGCACATCAGTTTTGATTCTCTAGCTTGTATTTTGATAGGTTTACTAAGGCATTGTTATAATTTAGTAATTATAAGGCAGTCAGTTATGGAGTACCTCACTGTAGATCTTTTCTCTTGGTTAAAAATAACACTTTAAACTGAATTTGAAAAGTAGGAAAACAGACTTCTTGGTTATGTCTTATTGCTAGGAAGTGTGTTTGGGAAACAGCAGCTTTTAAGCTTGTGAGCAGAAAAATTGAAGTAATGGGAAACCAGTGTTCTCTCATTGCAGATACAACAAAAGCCATTGTTAATTAAAAGCATAATTTATATGCGTCTTATTTAGTTATTAGTCATGGTAATTATTGACCATAGTTTAATTATTTGCACTTCATGCCTGGTCATGGTCAAGGTGGTGTAGGGCTCTTGTTGCACTAGTATGCCTCTAGAAACAACTGCATTTAGAAGTAGGCATTCTCAAGGATAGTCGTATAAAATATACATCACAATAGAACCATTGAAGACTTTGGTGTGTTGCGGTGTGCTCTGTATACTATCTCAGATAGCTTAGAGATTGAATGAAAATGTGCACAGTTTGTTTAGTATTATAGTATTTTAAAACTCAACTCGTGTTTCTGTATGACATACTTTAATTTTTTTTTGATACAGCAACAGAAGAAGTACCAGCAGATCAAGCGTTCTGCCATCATCGTACAGTCTTATATCAGAGGATGGAAAGTGAGTTTGGAGCATGACTTCAGTATGCTTTCTTTTCTTACCCTGTATGAGTTCAGTACAGCAGTTTGAGTGGGGACCCCAGTGTCAAGGAGTGGACAACCCATGGGCTGATGAAGCTCCTAGCCATATTTTTGACCATAGTGCACTCTTCAAGTTAATGCTGAAGAAATTTGGTATAAAATTCCTGATTTTTGGTAGCGTGAACTTTTGCTTAAAAGAAGTCCTAAAATTAGTGTGTTAAGCCTCTGGTAGAATTGAGCTTTAAAATGTCCACTAACCACCCCCAAAACGGGCCAGAACATTTTTCTTTGCTCATCGGGGATGTCACTACATGACTGCCTCCCCTATATTGTCCTTGGAATCCAACTTTAAAAGAAAAAAGGACATCTCCTGCCTACAAAAAAATTGTCCTGGTAGTAATTAAAATTAAGAATAAATTAGTAATTCTGTTACTGGGGAGCATGGAGACATAATATTAACCAGTTACACTTTACCAGTAGCCAGAAACATCTATTATTTTCTATTGAACACTCCTCTACCCATCCCCCACCGAGTTAAATAAATATATAAATAAGAAAACCAGTTTACTCTAGCAGTTAAAGTGCTGGGCTAGGAGCAGGAAAACCTGGGTTCTAGTCCTGCCTTAGACACAGAAACCAAATGGGTAACTTTGGACCAGTCCCTTTCTGTTAGCCCTAGGAAGAAGGCAAGGGCAAGCCACCTCTGAAAATGGTGCCAAGAAAACTCCATGGACTTGTCCAGGCAGTTGCTAGGAGTCAAGCCTGACTTGAAGGCACCCCTACCCACCCTCCAAAAATAATGTAATACAGTACCTCCCACTAGACACATTTTCCTCTTAGTGCATCAAAATTGTAAATGCAGCTTCTTAAGTCAGAGCCACAGCATGTGCTTTCTGAACCCCAAGTGCTTCTCCTCTACAGAAGTCTTAAGTAGTCATAAGATGATTTGCAGAGGAGATGGAGCAGAGGCTCTTTCCTCTGTCCATCCCATTCTCTTTGAGAGGGATCCTCCAGTCCCTACTCTGGGGTATAACCATGTATCACAACCCCTGCATAGAGGAAAATGAGTGGATAGAAGAAAGATTGAACATTACCCAGTGCTCATCCTGTTACCTATGTGTCATTTTGTGCTAGGAGAAAGTTTTATTTCTAATGAAATACTTAAATGAAGTAAAAGGGCTGATTTGCAAATAGGCAAGCAATGGCAAGGTTTGAGAAATACAACTAGGCCATGTCAATTGTAATTCTAGCCTCAATGCTTGAATCGCTATCCCAGTCCCTCCAGTTTCATGTGCCAAAATAATCTAAGTGCAAAACTAATTAAATAAAATGCAGTTAATGGAGTGTGGTTGGAGTTATTATGCTCAAAATAACTTGCCTTTTTTCCTTTTTTTCCATTGTCATTTAACGTTTTGGTATAATCTGCATTGCTTGCATCTACTTACTGTTTTTAAAGCATGAGTGGTTGTGGCTTAAAATTCCATGTCAGCAGCAGAATTTGATGAGCCTGGGCAAGTGAGCGTAGGCACCAGTGCTACTCAAGTAATGGTAATAGCTCATAGGAAACACAAGCTATCTTTCCCCCCAGCTCTAGTTTTATAAGTTTTGAATATTTTGAACATTTTAAACCTTGCATTCTGGAGCACTAAACAGAATTGCATAGAGTCGGAGGGTTTAAATGAAATAGCAATGAAGCATTTATAATTCTTTAGAGTGATGGGGTGAAAACGTGAACCCATCCTCACCCCTTATTGCTTGTGCAACTGTGTTTTTTTTTCACATGCTAAGTTGGGGCCGTGGGGTTTTGTTTCACAGGCTCGAAAGCTGCTTCGTGAGCTGAAGCACCAGAAGCGCTGTGAGGAAGCTGTTACAACCATCGCAGCCTATTGGCACGGAGCTCAGGTAAGAAAAAGCATCTAAGTCTTTGTTTGTTTCCTAGCCACCTCATGGTACAAAGGTTGCCTAGATAGGCCAGGGAAATGTTTTTCCAGCTGCTTAATTTATCGCATTTGGGTTTGTCCTCTTTTGCAGCTGTACTTTTAACAGATTTCAGTCTAGCTGGCAAAGGCTTTACACTGATACCATATGAAATGTTGTCTTTCTCTTTCACTTCCTCCTTCCACTGGGAAATTGAAGCAAACCTTTTCTCTCTCAAAATGTTCTGTAATTCATTTTCAAATACATCACAGGCGCGAAGGGAACTGAGGCGGCTGAAGGAGGAGGCTAGGAATAAACTTGCTATTGCGGTTATTTGGGCTTACTGGCTTGGACTTAAGGTACTACATGCAAGTGTCATGTGTCCCTCCCTTCCTCACCCAAATTGCCTACCCATTAGTAAAAAGGATTCATAATCATTTTTACTAGGCTACTAAACCTGAGCACCTGATTGCTGGTAACCCTTATTCTCACCTTCTCCACGCTTAACCTGACAACCGTCCCTACTAAAAAATTCCAAGCATGCCCATCTATAGATAGCACTAATTGCTTGTTTATAAGCCAGAAAATGATTAGACTAGTGGCTCTAAAATATATTTTACTAAACTGAAATGTTTCAGAGCAAATTATCTTGAGCACCATGCACATGTACAGGTTCCTATACTAAGGCCGTTTGACAAAATGTAATTGCATTAATTACTTTCACAGCAGTGTCCCTATCTTCTAATTGTGTCTTAATACATAAGAAAGGGTTTTTTTTCATCCCATACAAAGTACTAGGATATGATTTTCTTACTTTATTATTTTTTTTACTGGGGAATGTGACCAAGAGCTGTCTGCCATAGGAGCCAGGAATCCTATCAGACCCAATCAGAGTCTCAGTATAGGACTTTGCAACTTAGTGTAAGAAGTAGTTTGCCATGTTAATGGTTAGAAAATGATGGTTGAAATCATCCCCGGTATAGGCAACAACTGGCTGCTACTGCTTGCCACAGTATTTAGCGTTTTCAAATTTCACATACGTGTATTAGCTCATATCTTAAGGATTTTATGCAACTGCCTATTTACCACCTTGCAACCAAAATGTAGAATTAGTGGCAAAATGCAGTCTGTTAAATTCCTGTAAGCGTCATATATTTCAGAGCAGGAGGTTCCCCCCCCTCCATGTGACAACCACTGGAAGTCAAACAATGTAACATGGAATGTGCACTTAGATATGGAGAAATTGCAAGATTTGTGCTCGGATTTGGTGGAAGTGCATAGGGACAGAGGGTAGAGCTGATCATAGTAAATTGTTGCTTTTAGCAAGAATACCATGGAAAGATTGCATGTTGATAATGGATGATGGAGAACTTTAGGTGCTATCATTTCATTAAACATATTAGACCTCTTTTCCTTGCCATGAAAACTAGGTATGGTTTTGATGCAAAATTATAAATAAGAGCGTACCTGTTCATTTGCTAGAAAGTGAGTCTTATTTTGCAACTATTGAGTTTAAAGCCCTCGATATAATGGCCTACTTTAAACAAATGATCTGTGACAAAATATTATCATTTTGTGTTTGCTGGAGATACCAATAGCTAGCACATAGACTACAGATCTAGTAATTTGTCACTCAAAATTTAATATTGTTTTCCTTTATGTGTGTGTGTGTGTGTGTGTAATATATATATGTGCTAGCTATTAAATATATATATAAAAGTGACCAGTGTTCAAAGATCAATTTAACAGTATGTTCAGACTCTTCAAGAATAGTCAGGTAATATGAAAAATTGAACTGTGGCTCTGAAAAAGTTTTAGGAATTCCTCTGTCAGCTGTTCTTACAGAGGATACATTGAAGTCTCTGTCATAAACTAAGCTGGCTCTGGGATTTAGGATGCGGAGAAGGATAGCTAAAATGCTGTCGCATTGGCCCTCCGATATGAACACATACTGTGGAATTTGCAGTGAGTACAGCTGTTTCTCTCCCTCAATGACTTATTAGCCACTGAACTAATTGGGTATAAGGCCAAGGCTGGATTTGGATCTCACCAAAAGGATAGCAATCTCTTCTCAATAATATGCTCACTAACATCACTTAGCTTCCCATTCAGGGCATAACATTTTAGTAATGTTGTATTTTGGAGAGATACTGCTAAGTGATGGTATGATCCATGCTTTGATGTAGAAGATTCCAGGCATTTTCATTTAAAGTCCATTGGGCATGAGGGTTAGGACAGTCATTGTCACTGCAATTCTGTGACTAGTCAGGAGGCTTTCTCAAAAAGCCTACAATGTGGCTTAAAATAAAAAGGTTCCCAGTGTTGTCAGGCCCAGGATTTAGAGGAGCTCTGAGACCCAGAGAGTCTTTGTAGATGTTCACTGGTGACAGGCCCTGACACTGGGCCTGTTATAATCCATAGAGTCCTGGGTAAATCATATCTCCCAAACTGGCATCCTCCAGTTGTCTTGGACTACAACTCCCAGAATTTCCAGCCAATGTGCCAGCAGGTTGGAAGGAAAATGTTCATCTTTATTTGGCTCACAGTACAGAATACTTTTTAAAAATAATACTTTATTAAGACTTTCTGTTGAAGAGTATTACATATGACAATTAACCAGCAGCTCAGAGAAAGAGAAGCAACCAATAACATTTGAACTCCAAAAAGACTCAATGTAACAAATGTCAGAACAGGGCAGGGAACCTGGGGCATCAAGAATTTTCTTAAGTAGTTTTCTTGTAGTCTTTTCCAGAATGGCTGTAGGTCAGGGAATCCAAAAGGACCTGGACCTTAAAGGTTCTTAACCTGTGTAAGTAGTAGAATAAACTTCCAGTAACATTGTGTAACAAAATGAAAAGCATAGTATGTATGCAGTGTTCGACCTCCTGTCTAATGCTGAAATAGAATTTAGTTCCCATCGTTGCAAGTGCCCTGTTATCTCTTGGAGTAAAACAGTGCTTTGTAGCACCTTAAAGAATAACAGCTTTGTGATTGGCGTTCCTTATATATCATCCCAAATGCGTAAACTGGGCAAGCATTCTGGGTGGAATTGGCCTAATCACAGCTGATATAATTACTCCATTCTCAGATCATATTCCAGTCCTTTTGCAAAGGAATAAATAGTTACAAATCAGAAATTCCAGTATCTAAAAACTAGTGGTGAAACATTCCCCACCACCACCAAAAACACAGATTCCATTACCCAACTCAAGATAGTCAGTCTTAAGAAAATGAATACCGTAGACTGATCACTGGAAAACACTTGTCATGCCATAATTAGTTAGTTGTCTTGCAGGCTCTTTGTATAGGTGTGGTTTAGCATTAGAGAATAGGGCTCTATGAAGCTTCAAAGGGATGTTTTGCTTTGATGAAGTCTTCTCTTCCAGCTCTGCCAAGGGCTTCCAGGCTGGGCAGCTTCCACAAATGCTGTGAGATTCCACATGGTATGTGCTGAAGTGGCTAGCTTTGGCATGTATTGAAAGCCTTGCAGGTTGGGTGGCCTCAATAAATGCTGTTGAATTGCCTATGTTGTACACCAGAGTGGCTAGCCTGGAGCCCTCTCAGCATCTGCTGAAGATTTTTGGGGTTGGATGTCTTCACTGAGCATCCCAGGCAGTACTGCAGTCTGTGCTTAAGCCACCTAACTTGGAGCCTCCTCTGGGCCAATGGCTCTTATACTCTTCCAAGGCTCTGGCCAGCACTGTAGAAAAGGTGAACAGCACCTCCCCTGCAAACTGACTCTTTGGTGACTGGTATGGAACCAGGAAGCTATTCAACCTGGAAGAACTTTGGCTACCACTGGGAGAGAATGCTGAGAAGCGCTGAGTGGCTTCTTCTTTTTAGTGAACAAACCACATTGCCTCCAGAGCCCAAATGGCTTCATCATAGTACATCCACCTTTCTTCACGCAGGACTAATAGGAAATGTTTGAAATAAAATGCTATTTCTGTTGAACCAAAGAGGCAATACTAAAGGAAGTTAAAGCTATCTGCAGCCTGATAATTTGCTACAGATATTATTTAGTGTAACACTTTGCTTTACTTGAGGGTTCAGTGGTGACACATCAAAATATGCAGCATAAGGATTTCATATTTGAGTTAGAGTATTGTGAAGAGACATGTATTAGAAATTGCACTGATGGCTGAAATATTGTTAAAATAACCTAGTGTTGGATCTAAGCAATCAGAAAACTTTCCTTTCGGCTGAGCTGGTACATTTAACGATAATGGGAATTTCACACACATGGTTGGGCTGACTGATGATTTGAGTGAAATATTTGAGGATTAGTTATCTAAAGTAAAGGAAGTTGATACAATCAGCCCCTTACTGTGAGAAAATTCACAAAGATGTTACGTTATTTTGGGATTGTACTGCCCTACAATTAGATCAATGAACAAGGCTATTACCATTTTTAAATTTTTGTAAAAGAATCTTGAATATGAAATGAGGGCCTAAACTATTAATGATCAACTGTAATCTTTTATTATACCATCTGACTGTTTAAAATCTCACTGAAAGGAAACTGTAAACCTTTAAAATATTGCTGTTTACATTAAATGCAGAATGATGGTAGAATTGGGAAATGCTCTCTTTCTTTCTGGTCAGAATGCACTGAAATGTCAGTGTAGATTTAAACAACAGGTTTAAACTTTACACTGAGATCTTTCAAACAGCAAAATTTGCAAGACAAATCTCTTGTAAACATACCAAAATTTCAATCCTGTAAGTGCATGGCTATGGCTATTGTTGCTGATCTTAGTCTTCATCTAGAAATTTGAATGCAGTAGACATCTGTCCTCCACTGATATTGAAGTATCAAAGGGAGTAACAGAAAACCCTAGAGAGAGCACAAATGCTTTTCTTTTTTCTTTTTTAAAAGTTTCTTCCAGTGCCACTTTACACTGAAGTTATTATTTCTGTGATACGATATTCATTGCATGTCTTTTGTGACCCCTCTCCATAACATTTTGAGAAAAATGCATTGACATCAAAATAAAGTATAAAACTGAAGAAAGTTACAGTATATGTGCCCTAAACTGGGATTCCTTCAGATACTTGCCATTGCTGAATGGAATACATAAGCTGGTTTCTAATATTCTAGTCTGAATTAACATCCCTTTGGGCTGTGACTCTGCAGAAGGTTTTCCACTAAAGTTAAGAACTGTTCACCCTTTGGTAATGTCCCATGAGAATGCTACTACAAGGGAATGTCTACTGCTTATTCTTCAGATGTGCCTTGAGGAAGCAGTGTTGAAGGCCAGCTGTGCTTTCCACCCTATCTTCACACTGACATGCTGGGTTCCATAAGTTGCCTATTGCTTTTCCATCTTCCCCCATCAGCTGTTCTTTCAGGGAGAGCATTCTCTTTCTCATCATTGTTCTTTCTGCATCAGGCTGTCTCTGTGATTCACTATCTAAACATTTTAGGCTCGGAGGGAGTTGAAGCGCTTGAAGGAAGAGGCTAGGCGTAAGCATGCTGTTGCAGTCATATGGGCTTACTGGCTTGGACTAAAGGTACTCTCTTAAACAACTCCCTTATGTTAATAATAATCTCAATAAAGCGTGGCACCTACTAACACATAATAAACTTCTGGGGCTATGGGCTGTAACGAAGCATGATCTGTAAGGGATATTTTTTTCTTCCGTGGCCTTTTAAAAACAAACATTCTTGTATGTTGTACCAGACATTATAAATTGTGTGTATATACTGCATGTCTACATTATTGCCCCTAATTTCTGAATATATTCAAATAAGCTGAATAAGCAGTTCATTAATCACATTTTGGAATGAAGTAGGGAAAAAGTTAAATGTGATCGTTGGACATTTTGAGGTCTGATGCTTCAGGAGTTTGGACTGTGTATTTAAGTGGTTATCAACATTGCTGGTTGTGTTAAATCACACAAATCTTGACAAATGTCTTCAAGTGGGCCTGCCCCAAACTGATTTGGGGTGAATAGTAGTGATTTCCACAGGAGTTTCTTTCCCAACAAAGTATGTTTTCCAGTACCAGCACTTAATTGGGGATGGAGGGTAGAGAGTATATTTGGAGAAAACGGAGAAGGCAAATACATTGGTCAAAGTATTTGACAAACTTCTATTACTAGGTCAAAGCACCCATGTTCATGCTGTTTTGGTTGGATTTGTTTGATTCTCTGCATATGCAGCCTTACAAAAGATAACTAAGACATATACATCACTCTTTTTATGGAAGTCTTTTGAAACTGTTTGAAACTCAGGTGAGATATTGTTTGTTCCAAACACAATCTCACTGAAATGACCTCCTGCTGCAAACATTTCTAGAAGTCAGTTGTGTATTTGAAAGAACCGCTGCACCTATTCATTCCATATGCCTCTGATGCAACATGAAATGCAACCTGCATATGTTCCCAGGGAAGCCCTACTCCACACTTCTTGTCGATGAAACACACCCGTCTTACAATTCATTTTTTGTACTTGACAATAGGAGCACCACTGCTTCCCCAAACCTTACCAGTGTGCTTTCATTGAACCTTTGGAAAGGTTAAAAATGATCTAACTTAGCTTCTACCTGTGCCTTTTCAGGAACTGACCATTGTTTCACTTCAATTTCCTCCCTTTCATTGTGATCCCAACTGCTGCTGCTTTTGCCTTTTTGATAATTGGATATATAAACCCCACCCCGCCACCAGCGGATTCAGTATGGACCCCAGCAGTTGTTTTCAAATGTTTTAGAAACTTAAAAAAAAACAATTAAAAAAAATTATACTTAAGATAACCCTCAACAATTATAAAGTATCTTGTCCTCTGGCATTTTTCCTCCTCATATGTGCTTGTTTTCAGTTATACTAAATTGATATACCCATATTGAAATGAATGGGAAATTTGAACTGTCAAGTGCCAAGTAGTAATGTTCTGTTGCTAGCAACCTCCCCATTATAAGATATGGAAAATAGCAAAATGATTCTCCTTTCTAGCATCTCTGCTATTTTTGTTTTGTTTTGTTTTTTACTGATAAAGAAAAGTCAGGTCAAGGTGATAAGGGACTCGTTTTGAATACTTAATACTTCTAGAAAAGCCCATTAGTCCATAGTGTAAATGTGTCCTTTCCATGCTCAATCAGATAGTTGTGGGTATGGGAAGTGTCATTTAGATAAAGATGCACTTGCGCTCCAAAATCAGTAAGAGCATTGCTACTGAATCTGTGTGTGCCTGTAACTGAAAGAAGATGTATGTTAATGCTTTAAACCCATAATAACAAGGCTCTCAAAGATTAGATCCAGTCCTGTTTTAACGTGACTATCTTGTGGTATGTGTGGTTTTCTTAATTTTGAAAAAGATCCTGATTTATATGAATGGTACAGCTAATATACTATTTCCTAAGAGTTTCCTTTTCCAAATATGTGAGTATAAAATCAAATTGGGTATCATCTAGATTCTTTAAAAAAAAAATCCACACATTGATTCACAGTCATGTTGTGGGAGGAACCGTTGTATGAAATCATCTCCACTGTGTTTTAGATCTGCTAATGTTACAAAAGGATGTAAGATCTCATATGTGTAAATCTCTGTTGAGAGCGGGGAGTAAAACATAACAAACACTTAGAATGCAACTTTTTAAACTCTTCCTCAAATCTGGATTATGACCATTACACATGGCAAGGGAGTAGAAAGATTTAAACCTTTCCTATGCCTGAAATTAGTTCTTTTGCTTCCCTCCACTGGCCTAGATGTTAAAAAAAAAAATCTCCATTAGTATCAAAGGAAGCATTTTTAATTACTTCCAAAGAGGGCAAATGTTAGGAAACAAGCACCAGGGAGAAGGGTTAAACCTCCTTGGCCATTTGTGGTGGTCTTGGTCCAAATTGGGGCTCCCTATGTGGAATAGATAAAAAACAACAGCAAGAGGCAGGTGTTTCTTACACATTTAACAGTGTCTTTAACCATACAGGACACTGCTACCGATGAGGTAAATGCCCACTCTACTGATGGTTCCTTTATACCCCACCCTGCAAACTGCACAAAGAGAAGGAAGGGATTTATTTCTTTATTTCATATGGGAAAATACACAATCATGTGACCACTTGTGTACAACTCACATGGTAGTAGAGAAATAGCTTCAAAAAAACCTGAAAGTACTTAACAACTACTTTTTGTAATTAGCTGCATTGCCACTAGGCCTTTGTTCAGCAAAACTGGAATAAAAACCTGGAGTGTCCAATTCTATTTTACAGAACACCACTGAAATGTGTTTTGCTTATAATTCAGTAAACTACTAATGTCTGTGTGCTAGCGTAGGGGCCCCCACAAAAGCTCTCTGTTTATTCTGAGATTTTAACTTATCCAGGTTCGTAGAGAGTACAGGAAATTCTTCCGAGCCAACGCTGGAAGGAAAATTTATGAATTTATACTTCAGAAAATTGTAAGTATTTTGCTTGTATAATGCTGTTACAGTTGTATGAAAATTTTACTTTACAATATAGGCAAAAAGAAAAAAAAAGATTGGTTGAAAGATTTCACTATTTTTGTAATACATAGAAAATAACAGTGAAGTACCTGAATTGTCTTTGCCACAGGAAAAAAGCACTTTTTTGTATAATCGAACAATTATTATGACTTTCATTTTTAACATCTGTATCTCTTAGGTTTTTTTAATACTGTTACACTGCTTTTATTTTTGCGTCTGCCTCTTAAAGTGACCTCCTTTAGTCTACAAAGAAATCAAGTCCCCTGAAGCTTTCTAAGTGAAACCCAGCAAATGGTCTCCAATTTAGTTAATTGGAGTTAAAAGGAGAGCAAATGAAAACAATAGATACTATTGCCAAAAAATGAGTATTTTTTTCTCCTAATATAAATATTATTTTTATCCTTCAAAACTGATTTGGAAGAATTGTTTTAGACCTCACACAAGTGTATAGCACAGCACTTCTCTGCTATATCTTTGTTCCAGCTTCTGTAAGAGCCTGAAAATAGATGCCACTCCATTAAGAGAGGTTTTAATCCTTACAAATGTTTGATAAAATGAAGGCTGCTTGAGAAAATAAAATGTTTTCCCCTATTTTTTTTTAACCTAGATGCAAAAATACTTTTTGGAAATGAAGAATAAGATGCCTTCTTTATCACCAGTAGATAAAAACTGGCCAGCAAGGCCTTACCTGTTTTTGGATTCAACTCATAAGGAATTGAAGAGGATATTCCACTTGTGGAGGGTAATAATATAATTCTGGAATTAATCATTTATTTTAGTTGTGGGCACTTTTATTAATAGCCTACTTAAAAGCTTATTTACATCAAACAAAACAATACAAAAACTTTAAGACACCAAAAAATATAAGCATGAAAGCTGAAAATCAGTAATAAAAGATGCAGGAAGTAAAACCTCTTACCATGTTCGTGTACTCTGTTTTTATTGAAATTGTTTTACCAAATCATGCAGAATCCAATAGCTACAGTGATGTTGCTTTAAATGGCACAATTCTATAGTTTAGGTGTAGCCTTTGTGTTATTTATTTCCTACAAAAGGGGCATTTATCTTAGTTTGTATATACTCATCAGTGTTATAAGTCAAGGTCGTCTTTAAATCCTGTTTACAAAAATCTGGAGCCATTTGCTATAATCCAGGCAAAGTCCAACCTGTGGTATGGAATGTGCAATGTGTTAAATGTGGAATTCCCCAGACAAATCAGTTGAAACAAGAATTGTACTCTCTCCCCCACACCTGAACTAAAACATGTACACATTATACAATTAAATTGCTACATGTAGTAGAACCAAAATGAAAAGTGTACCTGATCAAGCATTAACCAATTCACTTACCAATTCTCATATTTTCCAGTTAAGATACACTTTATCAAGGCATATCCATATGCATTTTACTTTAAAAAAAATCATATATCGATGTAAGTCAGCAGGTCATAGCAGGTGGCAGCACCTAGCCAACCTAGGCTGATCTCAAAAAAGTTAAGGTCCAACCTGGTTACACTTAGATTTAAAAAGCTATGAGGAAATCAGTGTTCTAGATTTGACTGGGAAGTTGAAAAATAATCTCAGAAGGCAATACAGTAATGACAAAATACTTACATACTGTGGGTAAGAAAGGTGTGTGTAAATAAGACTTCCAGGGGAGGTTTGGTGAACTGAAGACAGCTCTGCAAAAGCAGAACCGAGGACTAGAGCAGACCAAGGAACTGGTGAGTAGACCGGTCCCTTGGAACCTCTCTGGATAAGGAGAGGATGGGAGACTGCCCATACATGTTCCAGACTGCTGCTCCTCGCAAGGAGACCACAGGACAGCGGTTTTCCACAGCTTTGAGTGCCAGGAGATGAAGGGATTAACCATCTTGCTCACAACTGCAGCGGAACCTTATAAAGGGCACTTAAGTTTGAGAAGCTCACTTTCTAATCACTTTCGGAAATTGCCTATTAACCATTTTAAAGTTATTAGAGACCTTCGGAACGACATTTGAAAAGTCTTCATTGGGTGAGTTTATCTTCAACTCTGAACAAAAGAAAAATTAATTATAAGCTCAAGAACTTAAAGAATCTAAAATAAACACCAAAAGGCTAAATATGATTTTGATCCTAGAAAGTTATAAATAGACTAAGGGTCCAGATAAATTTGGAATATTGAAACTTTTACAATAAGACTTTGGAATTAATTATAAAGAACAAACAGCTTCTGGTGGAAAATAGATCTGTTTTGGTTTTGGAAGACATAACAGAGATAAGTAATTTCATGATTTAAAAATTCCACACTAAAGGAGACTAAAGATTTTAAGCGGAGGAAAAAAATACAAAATATTATAACAATGAAAATGCTGAAGGAGACTTTTGAAGAATGGAGTCAGAAATTAGTAGCCACAGTATCAACAATGTCAGTAGATGTCTGCTTCTGTGGACAGACTATGTCCAAAAGATGTTATTGAAAAAATGACAGATGAAGAACAAATTTTATCTGACAAGGTAGAGATGGTATCAAAAGTAAATTTACAACTGATAGGCCAAGAGAATGACTTGGAAAATTATGTTTCACTGGATCTACAAAAAAAATTGGGGAAATACAAATGATAAACTTAGAAAGTAACCTTGACAGTTTTTTCTTATTGGATTTACAAAAGAGGCTTGTTAAAGCCTTGAAGAACTCTGTTGGATGGGACAAAGAAGAAATGAAGAGAAATCAATTGTATGACAACATTTGAATGAACTAAAGATTAAGACTGTTAGAAGTAAAAGGAAGGAATATAGTTAGTTTATTTGATCAAGGTTACAAGATATGTTATTACTTCTGGCAACCCTTTATAGACTTTCTGCTGACACCTGGACTGAAAAAATGATGTTTTATATATTTGTCTATAGATAAGGGATGGGATATGGAATGAAGAGATAATTGTTTGTAACCTTAGAGGGGGTGAAGGGTTACTAAATTTGTTTATACTTGTTGTGATGAAGGTTGGAAGTCACTTGTTTATATATTTCTTTTCTCTTTCTTTACTATATTCTTTTTTATCTTTTTCTTTTATCTTTTTCCTTGCACTTTTTATCCTTTCTATTTTATTCTCTTTAAGTTTAGTTTGTATTAGATTTTACTATTATAATCAACATTCTTAATAAAATTATATGTATTAAAAAGTGTGTGTGGGGGGTGTGTGAAATCACCAGGAGACAAACTCCACTCAAGAAAGTTCTTATCTTAAAGTAATTACTTTTAAAACAGCAAATGAGGTACTTAAATATTCATAAAAATAATATTTTTAATATCATGATACTTACTGAATTTTGTGATAAACATGCAGGTAGTCCTTGTTTAGCAACCACAGTTGGGGCAGGAAACTCGGTCATGAAGCAAAGCAGTCACTAACTGAAAGCATAACTGTGCTTATGAACTTACTTCAGCTTTCCTTTGCTTTACAGACCTGCAAAGGTCATAAATGCAAGGATTGGTCATAAAGTTACTTTTTCATCACTGTCGTAACTGCGAATGGTCGCTAAATGAGGCTGTCACTAAACAAGGACTTTCTGTATATTCAGAAGAGAAATAGTTGCAGTAGATGTAGATTGAGAACAGATGATGATGATGATGATTGCTATGTTTATAATAGCACCTGGGCTATGTATGTCTTGAGCAGTAAGAAAAGAGGAAGCCAGTTTCAAAGAGTAGTTCTGTGATTCATTTGCAATGCTTTATTTGTAGTGTAAAAAGTACAGAGAACAGTTTACAGACCAGAAGAAGCTCATTTATGAAGAAAAACTGGAAGCTAGTGAACTTTTCAAGGACAGAAAAGCTTTATATCCAGCCAGGTAATGAACAATTCTGGTAACTTTGCTGAGGTTGCAAGATAATATGTCCAGATTGGGAAGAAATTTGCCAGAAAATCCTCCTCATCTTTTTTGGCAGAGACTGCCAATTCCGAGCCTTTACCAGTTTAGAGATCATCAGCATCCTTCCTTGAGAATTTATATTTAATTAATGGCCTAATAACCTAATTCTTCCATGGTTTTATATCTGGAACATTGGCATTTAACTTGTTTAGGCACACAGAAAAGCCTACAAACAAGATTATTAAGGGTGGGTACTGTGCAGGTTGAAAATTGATGTTTTTTATCTATCAACTTGATATGAAAATCCATCTAATGCTCTTGGTCAGCTAAACCATGTCAGTGGGTAAAAAATGGCAAGGTTCAATTCAGAGAGTTGATATAGGCTGCCTTAATATTTTAACATTTTAAAAATGTTAACTGCCCACTCAGGTAGGAGCAGAACCCCACCATAAAACAGGGCCTCCAAACCCCAAATCTTTCATACAGTCCAGAAAAATACCATGGTTGATGGTATTGAACTCCACTGAAGGGCCAAATAAAAGGACCAAGAGGGGTACGCTCTCCCCATTCAGGTCCTAAGGACATTCACCAGGATGACCAGTGCTGTTTTCATCCATATCCAGACCTGAATCTGGACTGAAAGGGAATCAGAAAATCAATTTCTTCTAGTATCTATCTTCTCAACAACTTTCCCAAGAAAGGGAACATGGGAGATTGGGCAGAGGTTTTCCAGGGCATCAGGATTGAGGGAAACCCACTTTGGGAGATGGTGCAACACCACTTTTTTTCAAGGCAGGTGGCATCTCACTCTCCTTTAGAGAGGCATTAGTCACCTCTTAGTAATATATATCCCACCTGGCCACCCAAAGGGAGCAGTTGAGGCATAGGTCTGATCTGTAAGTAGCAGAGCACCTATCCACATCCTCGAGTTCCACAAGAACCTTGGGTAACATTGCAAGGCATCAACCTGCCTCTCCCTCACTCTCCAACCTGGCCCATTTGGCTTCTAGTCGTAAGCAAATATGAGTGACTGTATCCCCAAAGAAACATGCCAAGACATCTGAGTGGCCTGCAGACATCTTATTGTACCCTTCTCCTCAAAAGAGTCTCAGCCTGAATAGGGTCACTAGGTGGAATTTGGAGGCAAAATAAGAGGAGAAGTACATGCTTCACTGCTCTTATTGCCATTCTGCCATGCTTCTTATCTTATTGCCACACTGTAGGCTGAAACCTGGGCATGTTATCTGTCACCATGGTTGCCCTAGGCATCTTTTCATGCATTTTATCTCCTGGGGAAACCTGGGAGCCCCTCAGGATCAGTGCCTGGGGAGTGGCCTTATAGGTGCAACCTCATCCAGAGCTCTGATCATCTCCTGATTGACCAGACCTGAAACACAGCTGTTTACCAAATCATCAGGAAAGTTTCCAACAACTTTCAGAAGACGACCATTACTGCTTTAAAACCACAATGTGCAGCATGCTTCTGGTCCATTGAGCTCACCTAAGACTACTCTCCCAATCCACTATTTCATACAAACATCAACCATTTTATTCCCACCCAATTCCATTTTCCCTAAGCCTTCTTCCAGTGCTCCTCTCTCTAGCATCCCCCCCGCCGCCAATACAGTCCCCCCGTTGGTGCACTACTGTGGGACAGGGGTGAGCCATCTTCTTTATTCCTTGCATCTCAATCAGAGCATGAAGATATTCAAGTCCAACTCTTTTGATTGGATCTCCAGGCTAGCAAATCTTCCTCTGACTATTGCCTGTGACTTCCAGCCACCACCACCAGCTGGCTTCCAGGAACCTCTAGAAGAGCCACTTCCAACTACTGGACCTTCATAGTTTCAGCCTTAGTCCTAAGCAACCCACACCATCCACTTTCCAATCTTTACCTTGTCTTCCATTTCTTTCACTGAATTTCATAAGGATGCTGTCAGTGGCAAATAGTGCAACATGATGGTGAAGAAAACAAAATAATAAATCCACTTTCCAATCTTTACCTTGTCTTCCATTTCTTTCACTGAATTTCATAAGGATGCTGTCAGTGGCAAATAGTGCAACATGATGGTGAAGAAAACAAAATAATAAATCTCATTTTTCAAAAATGCAAGACCTGTTCAGATATTGCCTGCCCTCCCCATTCTCATCAAGTCTTTCCCAGTTTTGTATTAAAGTTCTTTGTGTTCAGTGCCTGCCACAATCAAATTTATATCACCGCCCAACTCCCCCACAAGGAGGGACTCTGGGCAGTTCACAACAAAACAATTTACAAACAATAAAAACAAAAAAAATACAAATACAAAATACAATTAT